CTTCTACGTTGCCTGGTTCGCGAAACAGTTTTTCACCTACAAATTCCTTTGGGGGTCTCGTGCGTATGCGGGGTTTAGGCGCGTATGGGGGAAAATCTTAAAACGGGAGGATGACACACGGGGTAGGAACAACAAATTCCTTTGGGGGTCTCGTACGCGGGGTTTAGGCGCGTATGGGGGAAGATCTTAAAACGGGAGGATGACACACGGGGTAGGAACATGTCTCGTGCACGGGGTTTAGGCGCGTATGGGGGAAGATCTTAAAACGGGAGGATGACACACGGGGTAGGAACATATGTCTCATTAGCGGGATTTAGGCGCGTATGGAGGAAGATCTTAAAACGGGAGGATGACACACGGGGTAGGAACATATATCCGAATTTCAGCCCCCCAGCTTTAATGGTTGCCGAGTTGAAAGTGGGTGACAAAATGCACTCGCATTGCGAACACACACACACACACACATCTTAAAACGGGAGGATTACACACGGGGTAGGAACATATATCCGAAGTTTCAGCCCCCCAGCTTTCCTATTGCTGAGATGAAAGTGGGTGACAAAATGCACTCGCTTTCCGAACACACACACAGACAGCCTCTTGACAAGCCGAGTTGAAAGTGGATGACAAAATGCACTCGCATTGCGAACACACACACACACAGACAGCCTCCCGACAATATGCGTTTTTGCTGGCTGTAGCAGCGCTATAGCGCTGCTATAGCGCTGCGCAGCAAAAAACGCAAAGAATTAAAATTTGGCTATTTTTGCCTTACTACATGAGCATTCTGCGGAAAATGCACCCATTAAAAGGAATGGTAACACGTGAAAAGTGGCTGAAAAGAACAGGGTGCATTACATAACTACCGCCGCACATCTACCACAGCCCCAACATTCCAGCTTGGAATGACTGATTTTTGGCTGGTCCTCAGTGGCCCTTTCCTTTCTATTTCATCTGTTAAACCTCGCGCAAAACTTGCAGATTATTCCTTCCTGAACTGACAGCATCAATTTTAAAATATAGTGAGATTTGAAAGCTGTTATCACACCATCGAATTCGCTTACAATTCTGATGCCTTGGTCCACGCTTATGTCTTCCATCAGCCCATTTCGATCCAAAATGGTATGCATACCAAGTAACTGAGCGGATCATATGTTTTGTAAAGCTACAAGGGTGCCAGTAACTTTTTGCTTAACTTCTGCAAAGCATTGCATATTTTTAATACTTCTGCTGCAATCGTCACACTGACGAGGTCCAGTTAAAAGCAGTGAATGGGGATGTATGCAACTTAATGGGCCGTAAAATTTTAGTCCAGTTTTTATGTTTTGCTGCCATTTTATCTGGCTGCCTTCCGCACATGAGCAGAGAAGATCCTTCTAAAATTTGGGCTCCTTCGTGGCCCCGAGCTAGCAATTGTCTCTCCGAAACCTTATATTTCTGTACTTGAAATCAAATCACACTAAGAAGTTGAATTTGAAACCTTTGAATTGCAGACAGACATGGAATATTTCCTCAAAATTCCAGCTCTCCAGAGATTTCCCCTTGTGAAACAATAAATTAAGGAACAACAGAAGGTAGTTTTGTAAGGATTTTTTCAGTAGGTATATAAAGAATATTAACGCTGCCCGAGCAACAGGAGTGTTATCACTGGAATTTAAATTAAGACATTTTGTGGTTATGAAAAAGTTAAAACAAGTGAAAGCATAATGTGCGTCGCAACTAGGTGAAAATCATCATTTGAATCTCACGGATGACTAAGAGTTTACGTAAATTTTCTAGTGAGGAATGATTTTTGGGGAACAGACTAGGTAGGAAGCCATAACTTCACAGGGATATTCTCTGCCCTTATGAGAACTAAATATTTCAATAGCGGTCTCACCGTAGGCGTACATCATTTGTACGGATACATCAAATTTTTAGGTTTCATAATTGCTAGCAAAATGCCAACTCGTCCTCTGATTTTAAGAAAATATTTGCTGTTATGTGTAAGTCCGCACACGTGAAAGAACATTCTCGTACAGCTCTGTCATGCGCAGAGGCACGAAGAACTATTTTTGGCGAATAGGTGATTTTGAAAGCCATTTGAGCTAGGAAGCTGAAATTTTCCGTTGAAATGACGATGTGGGCGTGAGTTCAAGTGATCTCACCATAGTACGAAATTGTGCAAAAACGAATTATCGCACCGACGAGCCTAGTGCACGTCTCAGTTGATACAACTTTATACCAATAAACGTACCCAGTTTACTGAACAAAAAAAAAACAAATATATATGCGGAAAATATATCGATAAAAAGGATGGTAGCACGCGGAACGAGGACAGACTGCTTTTGTTGCATCATGATTGCTTGACTTCATGCGGTAAATCTCG